GGACCCTCCCTCGTTCACACCAGCGCCCCCAGAGTTCTCTCCTAGGCTCAGAAAGCCTATCTCTCCAGAATCCACAGACAGAACCAAGGTGGGCTGTAGCTGGGGTCAGGGGAGGCTCTGTGCCTCTGGAGACTTGGAGGTCAGGACTGGGGCACCATCTTCTGCTGAGTCCTGTCCAGGCTGGGCTGCCTTGAGCCAGGAGCAGCCCTGGCTAGGGCCAACATCTGCCATGCTCCAGTCTGGAGCAAAACACTGGAGATCTCAGGGAGATCTCAGGGACCCCCACCTTCCGAGGTCCCAATATGATGGAGGAGGGGTGGCCTTCTCTGCAACCCACGTCGGGATGGGCCATCTTCTGTCCACTTCTGCTCATGTAGGCTGGACTTGTCTTCTCAACGTGAGTTCCCAAGACTGAGCCTGCCACTTGCGAGGCCCTCCAAGTCTCACTCCACTGGTGTGGAAGACACTAAAGAACATTGGCAAGCTGGGCACCATGGGGTGCGTGCCTGTAATCCTGGAGACTCGGGAGGCCAAGGCAGGAGGATCACAAATTTGAGGCCAGTCTGGGCAATTTAATGATACCCTACCCACCCCCACAGACTGCAAAAAAAAAAAAAAAAAGGGTTGATATGTCACTCAGTGGCAGAATGATTGCTTAGTATGGGCCAAGTCCTGGGTTTGATCTCTGGTACTGCCAAAAATCGGCACAGGAGGTAAAGTACATGCTTAGCATTGGTAAGGCCATGAATTCAATCCCTCCCACCCCACTCCACCCCACTCCACCCCATAAAAAACATCTGCAGAAGAATGGGGCCTAAGCATAGCTGGGGTAAAATGCTGAAGGTTGAGGACCTCACATCAAAGGAGGCTTGAAGGGATCAGGGTTAAGGACCATGAGCTTCCTAGGGAGAGGGGCAGGCAGCTCCTTGACTGTGAAGCTTCTTCTTCTTGCCAGAGAAGCTCCAGGCCAGAGCTGCGGAGGGTGTGTGGTAGGAGCTGGGCCCAGAGGTCTGAGCTGTTCTGGTTGGCTGACCCCCTGGAAGTCCAGGGAGTTTCCAAGCTTGGTGGGGGAGGGTCTGATGGGAGGCCGCAGTTAGAGTCCTGCTGGGTGGGGAGGCTTCTCTCCCCTCCTAATCCCTCCTGCTGTGGGAGGCTTAGTTGTGGTGGGGAGGAGCAGTGTGTGTGTGTGTGTGTGTGTGTGTTCACTTGTGCCAGTGTTTGTAAGTACAGTACACGTGTGACTGTGTGAGTACTTACATTTTTGTTCTCTCACTCGTGTGCCACCGTGGGTGTGCATTAAGCTGTGGAACTTACACGGTGCTGCTCCACGTGACTGTGCCAGTGAGTGTGAGTATCTGTGTACTTGTGAGAATACTCAGGTCTGAGTGATTGTGGATGGACAAATGTCTGTGACTATGTGTGTCTGTGTGGGTTTCCAGGAGGGATTCTGGGTGTCAGAAGGGCTGTGAGGGCTGGTGGCATGGTGTGTAAGAGTGTCTACGAGGAAGTGTGTGTGGCTGCGTGTACACAGGTATCCACGTCTGCGCAGGGGTCAGCAGGCTCTGTGTGTACCCAGGAATCCATGGCTCTGTGAACACATCTGCGAGTCTCACCACCTCTAAGAGCTATTCTTCTTGCCTAGCATAGTGGCACATGCCTGTAACCCCAGTGATTCAGGAAGCTGAGGCAGGAGGATCTAAAGCTTGATGCCAGCCTGGATAATTTAGTGAGACCCTATCTCAAAAAATAAAAAAAATAAAAAGGGCTGAGGACATAGCTCAGGGGTAGAGGGCCCCTGGGGTCAATCCCCAGTATTGCAAAAATGAATGAAAAGTAAATAAATAAGGAGCAACTCTTCTGAGTCCTTGTCTGGCATGGAGGCTTCAGGGGGCACCCTCCCTAGGCTAGCACCCCACAGGAACTCCCCCTGTCTCAGCTCTGACCCACCTTCTGCTTCTTCAGGGATCAACCTCCTCTCTGAGACTCTGGGGTAGATGGACAACTCATGGCCAGAGCAGAAGGACCTACCCTCCGGCTAAGGACCCTAACCTCTAGGGACACTAGAGTAGGATCAGCCTGTTTCCACCTGTTTCCCAGCCTCCCTGACATCCTGCACCCTGCAGGCTTCTCCTGCCAGGGCTTGAGCGCCACTTCCCTCAACCTTCTGGTTGCCATAGCTGTCTCCTGGCTGGTGGGGCCGGCAGGAGGAGGGGTGAGAAACGAAAACTCCCAAGGCCTCAGGGAAAACGAACAGGGGCAACAGTAGGAGTTGGCTCAGAAATCTAGGCCTATCTCTGAGCTTAAAGTGACTTTGGCCCAGAGACCAAACGCTGCCTCAAGGTCTTATAGTACTCCACATAGAACAGTCTGGAAAGGGTCTTTGAGCGCTGTGTGTCCAGCTCCCCCCCACCCCCGCCACCGGGGAGCCAGAAAACCCTCTCTGCTTCTGATCCACTCATTCATTTTTCATTTATACAACATTCCTTGCACCAGGCTCCATGTGGGAATGGAGGACATGGCTCCGTCAGGCAGGCTGTCCTCTGGATTCTGCTTCATTGGTGTTCTCCAGCAACAGGGAGCTCACTACCGCACAGGTCTGCAGGTAGGAGACACCCAAAGCCCCTTGTTTCCTGGAGGGCATCATCAATGATGGGGTGTGGGCACCTGGCAGGGAGATCATGTCCCAGCAATGTCCCATTCACCTGCCACCACCTTGATTGTGTGTGCCGAAGAGGCCCAGCTGCTAGGCTGCCTGTACAAGCCGACCTGGGCTGGCAGGCCCTTCTTTCAAAGGCTTGCCCAGTCTGTTCTGCTTTATTGTCCAGCTAATGACGGTGATTAGCCCGACAGGTGCCTCCTGCCATCGGGCCGCCCTCCTGCCTGCTGAGGAGGGAGGTTTCTGAGCATCAGAGGGAGATTTGGTCCCTGAACAGGGTGATCACACCCATCACAGTCAACTTCTAGACCCAGCTTGCCTCGGGTCCACCTCTCCCAAGAAGGCTGAGCGAGCTGTTCCTCATCTCCTGGGATTACTGTGTGACCTCCCTCTACACCCAGCTCTCTCTGAGCGGGACTAAGGGGGACATGGAGCTGAGAACACTGGGTGTGGGGGGTGTGCACCCTGAGAAACCTTTTCCCCAGTTGGGGCTGGATAGCAATTCCTCAGCAGGGTCCTGAAGATAGCAATAACAGGGGGTCCTTCTTGCTATGGGGCAGGGCGACGCAGGTGGTGGTGGGGAGCTGAGGCTGCTTCTGCATACCCAGTGCATTGTGGGTAAGCCACTGGGGGAGCCCCGCCATTCTGGGGCTGGCCCGTACCCAGTGAGGGGACTGTTGCCTGGGGCTTTGGGGGGTCCTGGTGCAGGTCTGGGAAGGAGATGTGATTTATGACTGTGCTTCACGTTTGAGGAATGCCAGCCTGGGGGGCCGGGGGAGGCGGAGCCACTCTCCTGACACTCCTTGCTCTCCTGGAAGTCTGGCATGTCCTGTCAGGATCCCCTGTCCCCTGGGGACAGCCATGTTCTCCCCGTACAGTAGCCCCCTCCCGGCTGCACTGCCCATGAGTCCCCCAGCTCCGGGGAGATGCAGTGAAAGCCCAGCCTAGGGGGGTGCAGAATTAAATCCTTTCTCCCTTCACATCTCAGCTCCCTTTTCCATTCAACCATGAGGCTGATGGTAAATATCTCTACCACTGCAACAGGAGGGAAGTGGATGAAACTCTAGAAACTTCCATCCAGATGAGCTCAAGGCTTACATACCACCCTCCACAGTGAAGGAACTTGGGATAGACTCAAAGATGAACTTCTAGCCAGGAAAGGATGTTGAGCTCCTAGAATGGATGCTAGCTGTAATATCATCCTTCCCTAGCCTATGCCCACTTTGCCAGATAAATGAAAGCTCTGGAGCCTATGAGAGTTCAGGGTGAGGTGGCAGAGGAGGGCAAGTGTGGAATCAAGAGGCAGAATCATCCAAGGTTGTCTGGTTCTGAACTCAGAAGGTCATGGCCGTTTTGAGCCTGTTCCTATGAGTCTAAACTACATTCTTCTTGCTGCAGGGTGACATTTGGGGTGAGGGTCCATCTTTCTGGGCACCCTGCATGGGTCAGCCAGCCTGCCTCCTCTGATCTGGTGGGACCGGTTTTTCTAGCTGGAGGAAGGGTCGGTGAGGAATTGGCAGGGGCACGGAGTTTTATGTAAATGCTCAGGGAGTGCTCTGGGAACGGGGAGGCCGGTTTTCCCAAAGACACGCAGGGACTGGCAGCTCCCAATTAGCAGTCCTGGTGATGTCAGTGCTGCTATCCTGGGTGGCTGCGCCCACTCCGATCGGCCCTGGCAGGGGTGCCTGACCATTACCTTCTCCTGTGGGTGGGAGGGATGTCAAGGGAGTCACCGTGCAGGACAGAGACCAGGCCCCCTCCCGCCATATCTCCTGCCTGGCCCCACCCCCACCCCCACGCCGCACAAGTTGTGGAGTAGTCTAGAGAGCGCTGTGAGAGACACCCCAGACTCTACTGAAAAAGACTTTAATCAGCTAATATTTGAACCCTCCCTAAACCCAGGAGCCTGGGGAGACCTCAGAACGCTGCACCAGTCCCTGAGACAGGCCTTGCTCCCAGGCCACTCCAACCCTGAGTTTCAATAAATACAGTGCAAAGGGGTCTGGTCACTAAGCTGGGGAGACAAAGAAGGGCAGGGTGTATTTTCTGTGAACACACACGTGTGCACCACCAAACACGCACACAAACCCCCCTTGGACACACTCACGACAGCACCATCCTCACACGCACCGGCACACACACACACATGCATGCGTAGATACACACGCTTTCCTCTGACACACTAGAGATGAGCACACACCTTCACAAGCACACTCGATTGTGTAGACGTGGGCCTTTCTCTCAGTCTTCAGCCCAGGGCTTAGAACTTGGAGTGTCCTCTCATGGCTCAGAGGAAATGGGACGGGGTGGGATTTTCCTGGGCATGGCTAGGCGGCACCCCAATCTAGGGGCCTGGCGTGGTGGTGTTGAGAAGGCATTGGGTTGTGGTATTGAATTGGGCCCAGAAAGGGAAAGTGTGCAGGTCAAAGATGGGGATGGCCCAGCTGTTGATGGCTAGCGTGATGACCAGCACTCCAATGATGTTGAGCAGGAATCCTGCCCGGGCCTGGTGGGAAGAGAGCCAGTTCGACTAAGCAGATACTGAGCAGCACCATTAAGTACCTCTCAAGTGTTCAGGGGTGCTCTGAGCCCTTCCAATAGCAAAACTCTGGGAAGTCCTTCTTGTGATCTAGCCCGCAGGGCTCAGCAACTTTCTTGCTATTTTCTTGACTCCCAGGGCTAACGGGGAAAAGGGGGCTCCTCATGAGCTGCAAACCTAGGCCTTGTTTTCTCTGAGTTCATCTCCCTAGTATGGGTACTCCAGGCCCTCTGGATCTTCCGCATGTCCCCCACTTCCTTCCCTCTCTCATGGCCCAGGGCTGGAAGTGCTTGAAGAGGTTCCAACTGAGGGGTCCTGTCCCTAGTCTCCCCTGCTGTCCCCTCACCCCCGAGGGTCCCACTCTCAGCTTGGAGACTCTCAGTGCCTTTCAGCCTTCTTTGTGGCCCAAGAAGTTGGAAAGACAGGGCCGGAAGGAGTGCTGAGACCTCCAGCCTTGCTTGCCACTCACCATATCTGACACTTTGAGGCCCCCGAAAGAGAAGACGATGGCATTGGGTGGGGTGGCCACGGGCAGCATGAAGGCCAGGGAGGCCGCCAGAGTGCAGGGGAGCATGACATAGAGTGGGTGGAGGCAGATGGCCTGAGCCTGGAGAGGGGACAGTGGGGCAGAGCTGAGCTTGGTCCCCATCCCAGAAGGAAGGTTGTGGCCCCAATTCTCCTGCTTCCCCGGCCTGGGGGACAACCCCAACCCCCTGCACTCTCTCTGGTCATAACCCACCGCTTCTGCCAGAAAGCCCTGGGTGACCTAGGAAAGGCCCCTTGACCTCCCTGGAGGGGATGAGTGTGCTGTGGGGCGTAGTGAGGGGAGGGGCCCATAAAACAGATCTCAAAGGGGCTCAGGAGGTGTCATCAAAGGCTGTGGGAACGCGCCTGGAGAGGAAGGGGCTGGGGACGCTCCAGGGAGCAATTTTACCCCGTCACCTCTGGAATGACCAGAACAGGGCTGGGGCAGGGAGGTGGGCGAGGCCACCTCTGAGCCCCATCAGGATATTCAAGGGGTGATGTCACCAGGGAGGGGGTGAGTCAGGGGCCAGAGGGCCTTGGGGCCCGAGAGCCCAAGAATCTGGGGAAGGGTGAAAGCTCAGGGGTCCTCTGCAGGAAAGAAGAGGAGGCGTGAAGGCAGGTCACTGTGCCCGCAGGCAGAGCCCCTGGTGGGGCAGCCAGGAGGGGTGCCTGGGGGAGAGGTCCAGCTCACCATGGAGGCCAGGATGGGCAGGAAGAGTGTGGTGGTGGCCACATTGCTGGCGCACTCAGTGAAGGTGGCAACCAGGAGACACAGGAGGAAGGCAGTAGCGGGCGGCGGTATACTCTGCAGCGGGACCAGTTTGTCTCCCAGCCACGCAGACAGGCCGGATTTCTGGGTGCAGGAGGGTGGCATTAGGAGACAGGGCTGCCCGGGGCTGCCCCTAGCCCTCTGCTGGGGGCTCTGGGAGGATCCTGCTCCTGCCACATCCCCAAGGTCTTCAGAGTGAAAAACGACTCTGAGGGGAAGACAGGAGCCACCTAGAATCAAGAGGTCCCTTCTGCTGCTCTTGAGGGACGAGGGGAGGGGAGAAGGGCCAGATGAGAAACTAGGAGGACGGGTCCTCAGAAAATCTGGGACTTGAGGGGGGGGGGAACTGACTCCTCTCAGGGGGTCACTGGGCCAATTCAGCTTTCTCCCTGTCCCCTCCAGCCTGGTGGGTTGGGGCTGAGGGAACCTTACTCCTGGCAGGAAGGGAGAGTAGTGGGAGGTCTGGGAAGAGGGGGACAGAAGGATGGGCAGTCCACAGGGTGAGAAGAGCTCCCAGGTCTTGTCCCGCCCACATCCGTAATGCCAGCCTGGAAGCGCACTGCACCGGGCGCAGTGGGAGCTGGGACTTTGCCTCATTCCGTGCTGCGGTCTGAAGTGCAGTGCTGGACACGGTGGATGGACGAACTAACTACAGGAGCCCCAAGCACCGATCCCTGACCTGGGGCAGCTGCCTCCTGTCTGCAGTGAATGAGCTCAGCCAGAACAGATGCCCAGGTGCAGTTTCTGGGATTTCCCTCTTAGAGGGAGGCTCTGGAGAAAGATGCCCTGGTCCCCACAGCCTGGCCGGGTGTGATCATGGCGCCCCCTGGTGGCTGCAACCGGCAGACAGTCAATGCCTGGCCAACCACTTGGGTGCTCCAGCTATTGTGTGGCTTGGATAAGGGGCAGGTCGGGGTGGAATTCATTGTCGAGAGCAGGCCCCACCCACCAGTGAAGAGTCTCTCTCTCTCTTTTGGCTCTGAGAACCCCAGTGGGAAGAGGTCGCTGGGGTGGTGTTTCTTCTTCCTTTCCTTGGATGGGACCACCACCTATGTCCCTTTAGCTTCTGCAAACTTTAGGAGCCCCACTGCTGGGCTCCTAAATGGGGATCATGTCTGCCCTCCCACAGGGTTTCCCTCAAACAACCTGGGGAGGGGGCTCGCGGGTCTCTCACCTCACTGCCTTTGGCCAGGGCAAAGCCACCACCCAGCAAGAACACGATATTCCAGGGCATCTTCTCGCTCACTGTCTTCCAGTTGAGGAGGGCGGGAGGGGCCTTCAGCCTCCCTGGTTTTTCTACTCCCCAAGCAGAGAAGGATGGGTCACCCAGAGCCAACCGGCCTCCACTTGGGGGCTCCTGAGTGGGTCCCTTCAGAGCTTAGTGCATGCAGGAGGGAATCCCTCAGTTCTACAATGTTCCAACTTCCTTCCTGAGTCCCTGTGCCCTTGGCAAGTCACCCCAACCTCTCTGGGTTTTGTTGACTCCTGCCAAAGGTGCATTACATGCCTGCAGGCAGGGGCTGACCAGAGACCCTTTCTTGCCCAGTCCAGGTGCTTACCTGGGTTCTGGGTCAGCCCTGGGATCTTGGAGGGCAGGATGAACATAATTATGCTGATGAAGATGGCCACTGTCCCATCGGAGGCCATGCTGTGGGTGGGGCAAGGAGGACAGACTTTGTGGCTCAAGACTGCTCAGACTCACAGGGTGGAGGGGTGGTAGAGAGAAGCCTCTGTCCTCCACCCCCCACCCCAAGAGTGACCTTGTGTTCTGCACTGGGGACTCTGCTCCCTTCCCTCACCTCCCAGCATTAAGCCTCAGGTATGTCTCCTCCTCCCCAACAGCTCTCACCTTTCGCCCTTGTCATTAGGAAAAGCTAGGTTACCCCAGCCTTCAAAGAAACCCGGCTCTCGTGTGAACCACAGCAGCACCAGGGCCACAAAGAGGATGGTGACAGCCTTTTCTGCAAAGCTCATGGGGCCCAGCAGCTTGTGCTCTCTATGGATGACTTGTAAGGCTGCGTCCTTTCGCTCATTTTCCTGTTCTCCAAAGCCAAAATTCTTCCGGAAGCTGTAGGCAGAGGGCAGGAACAGCTCATGAGGCCCTATACCAGGCAGGGAGCCAGGGGCTCTGAGTATCTATGATGTGAAGACTGAAGCCCAGAGAAGTCATTTTGGGGTCACTCCACTAGCCCTGACTCTACTGATGGTTCTGGAGAAGAGCAGAAGACTCAGAGGGGACCATGGCTTACCAGGGGGAGCAGGTTGACTTGTGCTTGTCCCTGCTCCACCTGCCCTTCCTCCAAGGGGTCTCTTTGGCTGGCCTAGTAGGACCTAGTGGCTTGGACCCTCTGTCTCCTCCCGGTGCTGACTCACAGCTCCCCTCCTTCACAAGCCTCTCAGAAAATCCTCCTGCTGGCCTCTGGGTGTCCCCTGCCAGCCTGAGCCCCACTGGAATTGTCCTCAGTGGCACAGGAGGCTATAGCCTGTTTCCTTGCACTGCTTATGTAACTTGTGTTGACATTTAACTTTTCACTGGGTAAATCTCACTTGCCTTCTGGACTATGAGTTCTTCAAGGGCAAAGAGCATGCTTTACACATCTTTGACTTCCCCATGGTGCCTGGCACTGTGCTGATGTCTTCAACAACCACCTTGCCTTGTACCAGCCCCCCACCTTAATCCAACCTCCTCATATGTGACCGAGTGATTTGCTGAAAGTATAGCAATGATGCTTACAAACTTGCAATGGCTCCCCTCTGCCTGGGAAGGCAGGGCAAATAACTCAGACCACAGTAGCACTGATACCACCACTCCTGTGCTGTATGCACAGTAGACATCACTAATCAATCCCAGACTTGATTCCAACTGAGTCTTATCAGGGTGTCCAAGGATTTTTAACATAGAACCCCAAAAGTGACTAGGAGTAACTCAGGGTTGCAAATAGGAATGCAACCTTATTACTCTTGACCTCAAGAACAAGCCCTCAAATCTTCACGTGGCTCACAATATCTTCTGCAACCTTCCCCTGCCCGATTCTTGAGTTTTGTGTCCTGATACTCCCCCAACCGCCCCTTTTTCTGTTTTGTGTTTCAGACCCACAGAGCCAGAGTCCCTCCAAATGCACAGGCTCTTCCTTGCCTCTATGCTTTGGAATGTGTTGATCTGTTCTCTACTTGACTGATTTTAGTCCTGCAAGAGTGGGCTCAGACATTGTCTCTTTGAGAAGCATCTTAGAGTATCCACTACCAGAAGCACTTCATCCTCTGTCATGGTCTCCACCATATCATCATCCATCAAGGATTTGCCAAATGCCCATCAGTATTCTCAGCACTTAGCACAGGCTCCAAGCATGCAGTCGGAACATAACAAATGCTTCTACAATTGTCATGTTCCTTAAGCACTTATCCAAGGACTGTGGAGCATTAGGGGAAGGGCCTGGTATGGGCATCAGGAGACCTACTTTTCAATCCCAGCACTGAAAAATCTAGTGGCGACCACCCCCAAGACAGTGCTCATCTACCAACTTAGGTAACATCATCCACTAAGCAATTCCCTAAAATAGGAGGTCAAGTGCACAGAGGGGCCTTGGGAGAAAGAGCCTTCTCAAGGGCTCTGTCATTTTTCACATCTGGACCCCACCAGAAGCTCCCAGGGGTACAGATAAAGACCTGGGCATCTCTTATTCACTCCACCACTTACTTGAAACCCAGGAAGAGGACCTGAAGCCAAAGCCAAGCCAGAATCAGCAAGATGACCATGGTGGGGAAGGCAAAGCCGAACCAGGAGGCAAAGTTCACCACGTTAGGGTTTTGGGGGAAGATCCTGAAGGGGACATAGGCTGCTGTGTGACATTGCCACAGCAACTGCCCAGCCCCAATTGCCTCCCAGGGAGAGCTCAGGCCTCCCCTACCCCATCCCTGTCATGCCTCCTGCCCTCAGTCACTCACGAGGAGACCTGGCCTTGCAGCACTAGGTTGGGTGTGGTGCCAGTCAGTGTGGCGATGCCCCCGATGCTGGCCGAGTAGCAGACGCACAGGCTCATGCACTGCGTGAAGCGGATCTGTTCTTGAGTTTTCTGTATTTTTGGCTTTGAAGGAGCAGCGGCGACAGGGGTGGCCTGCCCGTTATCTGAGGAATAAGAGAAAGTTCAGGTTGGGACAGGCATAGGGACAGCTTCGGGGAACATGGTTGAGGCTCCATGGCCCCCAGGGTACCTTGTCAGTGGACAGCCTAGACCTGGGCTGGGAGGAGGACAGAAGCTGTTCCTAGGTCTGAGTGGGCCCAGAATTCCCTGGAGCCTCAGGCTGAGAGTACCTTTAGACACCATCTGGTCCATCCTCTCTTGAGAGAGGGAACTGAGGCACAGAGAAGAGAAAAGGATTATCCAAACAAGGCAGGGATGGCGCCTAGGGCACTGCCTGCCCACCCAGGCTCCAGCTCTCTTCTCCTAGGGTGACCACGCCTCTTGGATTGCCCAGGACTGACTGAGGGTATTCCTAGCACATGGGTCAAGACCTATTTTATTTTGAAAACTTCATTGCAGTACTAAGGATCAAACCAGGGCTTGAGCGGCTCTACCATTTATCTCCACCCCTAGCCCATGGGTCTTGGGATTGTAAAACCAGGAAAGTTCTAGGCAATCCCGATCAAGCTGGTCACTGTGCCTCTCAATTCCCTCTTCTCTCCACAAAGGCTCCAAGATGACCACCCTTGGGGAAGGATGGCCTCTCAGATCTTCCCCAAGAACTGAGTGGTTGGGGTAGGGCCTGCCTCTTCTCTCTCACCAAGCTTGGTCACCTCCTTCTTGGAATTTGGTTCCTGGAGCTCGAAGGTAGGGTTGTCAGTCCCCTCCTCGATGTCCTTGGGTGTGCCATGCAGCTGCTCCAGGACAGCATGCGCAATGGGCACCATCATGGCCGTGGTGGCTGTGTTGCTGATCCACATGGACAGGAAGGCAGTGACCAGCATGAAGCCCAGGAGTAGCCTAAGGACAAGCAGGTGGACACATTGTCATTCCAGCTCCCCTTCAGGGACTGGGAGCCCTGAGCGCCGCCCGACCCCTATTCTCCTGTCCTGGTTTGTGGGAACTCACAGGGCCGGCCGCACCCCGATGAGGAGGAGCACACTGAGGGCAATGCGTTTGTGCAGGTTCCAGTGCTCCACAGCGATGGCCACGAACAGCCCCCCGATGAACAGGACGTTAGTGTCCTTGAGGTACTCGATGCAGACCTGGTGGGCAGGGATGGGACTGAAACCACAGGTAGACCTGGGGTCTCCCACGATGCTCCTGTGCTTTTAGGGTGCAGTCACTAACGTCCCTGCAGACTGGCTCTCCCCTGAGTTTTCGGGACTAAATGGAAATGGCCTTTGGATCATCTGCCATTTGATATTAACCAGGTTCCCCTGTTCTTGCCAAAATCACTCTTTGTCCCCTCAGGATGACTGGGCGACAATCTAGCCTGATCCTGCTCATCGTTCAAGCCACAGATTGGGAAATGAAAATAATTTTATGCTCTTTCTAGAAAGCAGAGCAGTGGTTTTCTACAAGTGGCCATCAGATGAACTCACCATCCTCACCATCAAATGCAACTTGCTAGAAATGAAACCACTCTCACCTACTAAATCAGAAACTCAGGGGCGGACCCAGCCCTCCAGGGGTTTCTGGTGCTCTTTCACGTTCAAGAACGTCTGAATCAGGAGTATAAAGCCCACCCTCTCTATCTGTGGGTTCTGCACCAACCTTGAATGGAAAACATTAAAAAACAAAAAAAACAAACTCAACTATACCCCACCCCATCATTATTCCCTAAACAATACAGCAGAACAACTATTGACATTGATTTAGGTATTATAAGTAATCTAAAGACAAACTTAAAATATAAGGAGGATGTGCATATGTTATATGCAAACGCTATGCCATTTTGTATAAGGGACTGGAGCATCCTGGGACTTGGGTATCATGAGGTCCTGGAGCCAATCCCTTGTGGATAATGACAAACTCTTTTACGGATTCTCAGGGCCCTTTTCCTGACCAGGCCCTCAACCTCCTTGGCAAATCTCATCACTCTGGCTTTTAATGATCTTTCCTCATCAGCCACACACATTTCTAGGATGCTCTCCTTGGCCTCTCCCTAGTTCCTCTCTCACTGTTCTCTGGCCTGTCAAGCAGCGGCATGCACACCGCCTGCAGTGAGGCTCCCTTGGTTACCAGGGCTCTCGAGAAACCCATGCCCTCTCCCTGGGATCCCTTCCTCCTACGAATGGATGGGTGGGGCTCACCTCAGAGGCATCCAGGATACCCATCATGGGGAACAGGATGATGGGGAAGAGGGCAGTGACGGCCAGGGGCAGAGCCTCGGTGCACCAGAAGAGCGCCATGAGGATGATGGTATAGGCACAGTAGGCTTCCTGTGGGCGGGAGGGGAGCAGCAGAGCTGATGGAGGGGGCAGGGGTGCGTCCCCTTCTGTCCCCAAGAGAAACCAGGTAATCCGTCACAGCATGGCGGGTGGGGTGCCTGCAAAACCCATGAGTCCCAAACCCAAGGTCCCAGTTTCAGATAGAAATGAAAAAATAAAGCAAGGCACTCACCACCTTGTCTTTGACCTTGGTGGCCCAGACATTATCATCCAGTCATACTGAAGAGACTGGAGTTGGCTGTCAGGCCCCATCCAGCCACAGAGGACTGCATGGGGCCCAGGTTAAGGTCCTGAGATGAAATGGGGGCTGACAGAGGAAGAAGTGGGACCTGGGTGATGTGGGCCCCTGCCAGGTCCTCTGGCCTTCCCTATCTCTTATCACAACCTGTGAGAATGTTTCTATTTGTATGATTGGTGTCTCCTCTGCTAGGAGGCAAGCCCCAGGGGGACAGAGTCAGTTTTGTGGCATCTGGATCCTTAGAGCCCAGGACCCAGCAGGCTTTGGAGCGAATCTTGTTCTGGGAAGGTCGGTGGTCTTCTCTGAAGCAACCCTGATCTGGCGGCTGCATTCCACAACTCCAGAGGCATGTTCACATTTATAGACCCCCCTGAAAGGTTTCCCCATCCCTAGGTTGCTCAGGGAATTATGGGGAGACCCTGAAGCATAGTCTTTGGGTACCAGAAGCCTCTCTTCCCTTACCAAGGCCTCCAAGTCAAGAGAAGTTTGACCTCAAGCTTAAGCTGGAGCAGAATGAGGGCCAGACAGTTGGCCCTAGAAGTCAAGGGTCCAGCCTACTTGACAGAGCCTCTCCCAGGGCTGGGGAATCATTAGCCAGAGGAGGCCTCCAGGGAAGGAGGCACCTGCCCTGTTTGCCAAAGAAAGGGGCGTCCTGCAGGGATTATTGGACCACAGGCTGGGAGAAGGGCTCCTCTCTTAGCTGTTCCAATTGCCCCGTTCTTCTCCTTCTCCCCTCCTAGGCTCACTCCTTGGCACCTCATTCCCTTAGTACCCTGAAGCTTGGCAAAGGTCCCTTAGGGTAGGGGTAGGGGGTTCCCTGGGGGAACAGGAAGAAGCTGTTTATTGAACAACTCTTAAGAGCTGGGTGTCAAACAAGAGTCATTAAGGAGGGTGTGGTGGTCCCACTTTATGGATGAGCTCCGAGAGTGAAGTGGCTTGCTCAAGGTCCCAGAGCTAAGGAGTGGCAGAGCCAGGATGGGATAGGGCATCTGGATTGCCTAAGTCCCAGGGCTTCCCAAGAGCACTTTGCTTGCAGTCATGTAAAGGTTCCCTGGAGCCCCGCAGCACACAGCCCACACAATTGCTCATAGCCCCACTGTGGAGCCGAGCAGGCTCTCTTTGTACTAAACCTCCACCGCATCTCGGCCTGAACACAACCCATCAGCTTCAGGGGTGGGGCCCCTTGACCCTCGACCAGAGATCCACCCCTCACCTCCCCCAGCGGGATTCTGCTGATGCAGGTATTTCTCCAACCGCTTCCTTACCTGCAGTGACTGGCTGGCCAGTCACTTACCCTCCCCTTGGGCTAAGGGCAGACCAACCCCTCTGGACCCTAGTGTTCCCCCCACTTAGCTAGAACTATCTGGCCACAGGCAGGAGGAGAGCTGGGGCAAATTGCCCTGCATTGATCCCAGGAAAAAGCTCTGCAGAGGAATCGTGAGACCACTCTGCCAGGCATAGTGATGTATGTGCTTCAAAGGCTTTTAAAATTCACACTTAGATGCTCTGTGAGGTGCTGGGTATTGTCCCCATTTGATAAGAGACAGGTGAAAATAAATCAGGCAGATGTCTCAAAGCCACCACCGTGGTGGTGCAACCAGCTATTTGGGAGACTGAGTAAGCCTGGGCAACTCAGTGAGACCTTGTACCAAAACTTAAAAAAAAAAATTAAACGGCTGGGGATGTAGCGCAGTGGTAGAGTGCTTGCCCAGCATGCACCTGGGTTCCATCCACAGAACTGAAAAAAAAAAATTGCACAAATATAAAGCAAATAGACTGGGCCATCTTGTTCTTAGGGCCCAGCTTCTACCCTGAACTCAAGGCCTCCCATCTGAAGGTGTCCTCAGCCTCAGGCTGTGACGGGTAGGGTGTAGAGGGGATAAGCTGGGGCTCTGTATCTAAACAGAACTATCTTTCCAGGACCTGCCACTTCTGTTGCCTGCCTCTGTCGAGGCATGTCACCTTATTTATTTATTTATTTATTTTTGAGATGGGAGGGGGTGTCTCACTATGTTGCCCAGATTGGCCTCAAACTCCTGGACTCCAGTGATCCTCTTGCCTCAGCCTCCTGAGTAGCCAGGACTACATGTACTTGCCACCATGCCTGGCTAAGGTGCTTCACTTTTGAGACCCCATTTCCACACTGTAAAGGAAGTTGTTAATAATCAAACTTGCCCCTGTGACTCCAGCATGTTTAAAGTCTTTATTTTATTTTAATGTGGTGCCGAAGATCGAACCCAGTGCCTCACGCACACTGGGCGAGCGCACTACCACTTGAGCCACATCCCCAACCCTCCAGCATGTTTAACATGTGGTTCCTTTCTGCCACTCCCCCCACCCCCATCTTTTTTTTTTTTTTTTTCAGTACTGGGGATTGAACCCAGGGCCTCATGCATGCCAGACATATGCTCTACCACTGAGCCACACATTCCCACTCCCTCTCTTTTTACAACTATGCTGGGTCCCTCTCTAAAACCTGTCTCATATTCTATCCTGAAGCCTTCCCTGACCCTGGTGGCTTTGGCCCTGTGTCCCCACCCGGCCTCCAGGGCAGTCTGTCAAGCCATAGACTTATTTGCTGACTTGTTCTTCTTGGATCATGGGGCATGGAATTCTGAGGATCCATGAAATTAGATGCGAAAAACTAATCCATCTATTCATTAGTATCCAACCAAGGCTATGAACATAGGTCACAAAGTCCCAGTACAGACTGTCCTTGGTTTACAAATGGTTGGGTTTATAATTTTTCAACTTTATAATGCTGTAAAAGTGATAAGCAGCTGGGAGTGGTGGTGCATGCCTGTCATCTCAGCCCTTTGGGAGGCTGAGGAAGGAAAAATCACCAAGTTCGAGGCCAGCCTGGGCAATTTAGGGAAACCCTGTCTCAATCAACAAATCAACCAAATCCTCCAAAACTAATTAACAACAAAAGGGCTGGGGATGGAGCTCAGGAGCAGAGCCGTCGCTTAGCATGCAAGAGGCCTTGGGTTCAATTCCTAGTATAGGAAAAAGAAAAGGGGCGGGGGTGGGGGATAAGCATTCAGCAGAAGCTCTGCTTTCCTGTACATCAACTATTAACCATTCATCAGTGGTGAGTGCCCACACTATGGTCCTGCTTCTCACTCTCAGTGCAGTATTTAATAATTACATGAACAATTCAACACTCTTAATACAAAATAGGTTTCGTGTTAGACAATTTTGCTCAGCTGTAGTCTAATGGAAGTGTTCTGAGCACATTCAAGGTAGGTGAGGCTAAGCTCTGACGTTTTATAGGTTAGATGTATTAAATGCTTTTTCAACTTGAGATGCTTTCAATTTAATGTCAGGTTTATTGGAACATAATCCCATTATAAATCAAGGCACAGCGATGCTATTTACTTTTTTTTTATTTTGGTACTGGGGATTGATTCCAGGGGCGCTTAACAACTGAGCCACACCCCAGCCCTATTTTGTATTTTCTTTAGAGACAGGGTCTCACTGAGTTGCTTAGTGCCTCGCTGTTGCTGAGGCTGGCTTTGAACTTGTGATCCTCCTACCTCCACCTCCTGAGCTGCTGGGATTACAGGCGTGCTCCACTGTGCCCAGCCTATGCTGTTAACTTTTTCTTTTCTTTTTGCGGTACAGGGGATCCAACTCAGAGTTTTACACATGCTGGGCAAGCACTGAGCTACTTCCCCAGCCCTTTTTTTTTTTTTTTTTTTAATTTTAAGATGGGATTTTGTTAAATTGCCCAGGCTGGCTTCAAATTTGTGACCCTCCAGCCTCCTGAGTAGCTGGGATTACAAGCACTGTTTATAGTATTATTGGTGACTTTGTTACAGAGGTTTTTCTTTTTTCATTTCTTTCTTGCTTTTTATGAGACAGAGATTTGCCATGTTCCCCAGACTGGCCTGCAACTCCTGTACTCAAGCAATCCTCCTGCCTCAGCCTCCCAAATAGCTGGGACTATAGGTGTGCCCAGCTCTTACAAATATTTTATTGTGGCTGTCGGATATTGAATACTTGCCCAGATCAGTTGTTGTAGTTATCTCAGAATATATCTCCATACGTTGTTTATACAGATTGCTATCTGACATTATGGTAGTTATTATACCAATGCTAGATCTTTCTAATGCACTGATAAGGAAGCACATATACCTCTGAATTGCGATGTCTGTTTCCATGATTTGATAACCATATTTCAAAATAATAGGGTTTCTTTTAAGTCTACACATTTTATTTTATGCATTTCAAAGCAATATTTGGAAGAGGGAAGCTGAGACTCAGCGAGGCTCCGCCGTGCCTGTTAAGCTGGGAGGATCTGGGCTCCAGGTTGGGGAGCTGACAGTATTCTGAGAGTCCCCCTGGGTCAGGTAATGGCCCCTTGTGTACTCCTGAAGGACAGAGCACTGGGCATCCTTTCTTCTTGGTCCCACACATGTCTGATTTCAAGGTCAGTTTCCTCTGCCCTAGAGGTGGGGATTCAGGATCAGCCTGTCCTCCAGGCCTGGTGCTCTCTGCCTTGCAGCCTGGCTTTATGGAACTTGAGCTGGCCAAGTTCATCTGGTAGCCCATGGCCAGCAGCTCTCCAGGACTGATACACTACACGAGTTCAAGGGCGCTGTTCACATTTGGAGTTGTGCAAGGAACAGCCTATACTGCTGCCTGCAGCCTCCTCCCCTGGAGCTCAGAAACCAGCGGAGAAGAGTCTTCTCCTGGGGGTTGCTGCTCTTGCTTCTGCCTGTCACTGCCTCCTGCTTCCCCGTGCCAGTTG